CATTTACATGACAATGTTCTTTGATTATGCTACTCAACCAGAGGCGTCATATTATTGTTTCCTATGGGACTTCGCCTCGAGCCAAACTCGAAATAGCATTTATTAAATGATATTTTCATATGTCGATTATTACACATTAAGGGTCCTGGATATGGTGGCTTTTATCACATTTTTATCCTTGGTCATGTGTTTGCTGCAGATCATATCTTCCCGTTTCAATATAAGATGTGCCATTTAGGCTGTTCTACACTATATGGTTGATAAACTACATGACAATTTTAATGTCTTTGAAATTTTTTATATTTATTCCTAAAATAGTACATATTTTATCTACTAGGACAAGCGGCAAATATATCATCTTGTATAGGCACGATTCTTCGCAAATAATATGGATGCAAATTAGAATGTAAGCATTTATGTAACGAAGCTAACTATTTTTGTGATCTAAGGGGTTCCAAATCTACTTGCAGCAGTAAATTATTTCTAAATTTGTCTAGTTCAATCCAAGGATGGATTACAAAATAAACTTTATCTTTTGAATTGTACATTGTACTAATTGATAGGTCCGTATTTAGCCATCAGGCTTTCTGATATATTAATATATTTAATGTTTTTTTTTTCTGAAACTAATTAAAAATTAATTTAGGAAGACTGCTTATAATGTGCACAATTTTTTGTTTTAGGTTAATTTTCGGAAATCAAAGAATTTTAAAATCACATTACGTTTATGTACGCATTTATTTTACAGGTTAGTAGATACTAAACATAAAAAAAATTGCTTACTAATATTAGAATTAGGTTTAGAACCGTGGTTAGGTTTTGGCAACTCATGGTATAGAATAAAGGAATTTTTTGTTAGAACACAAAAGGTAGTTTCATAGACAAAACTCCAAGATAACAACAATTTTTTGAAATGTGTTTTTCACGTTAAAAATTTTCCTGCGTCTAATTAGTTGATCGCACTTCGGTGACTGCCACCATCGGTAACAAATAAACATTTACATAAACATAAATGCGTGATCAGATACAACTGTAGCTACATACCAACAAAATAAAACACCAACTAATGAGCAAGATAAGCTTTTCGAATTTTTTACTTAAATACGAATAACGGTAATTTTGCAAATGAACACGTATCGCTTTGCGGCACGTGCAGCCAATCGCTTGTTAAGTTACTGTTTCGCCAATAATGGTGTTACCGGCAATTTATGATCATGATTGGTAGGGAGTTGTCGACTGAGTTTTAATTTGAATAAACACGATTACATCGTATAACATGAAAAAATAACGTGCAGAAATTAATTTATGGTCACAAGAGTTTGCCGGATAAGAATTCAATAACCATAAATAATTAGTGGTTCATTTTTTATATTTTATGCTTAATGCTATCCTAAAAGGAGTAAATTTATGTTATCCAAATAGAATGATTTTTATTTATAATTTTGTTAAGCCCATTAAATTTTTCTTTTGAAGATGTTAGTGGTAAATTTTTTGTTATGATAACAATTCAAATTCTTGGTATATACGTAACAGGATCGGATAGGAAAGTTTTTAAAATTCACGGTATCGGGAGTTTTATTAGTAAATTCACTATATTGAGTGGATTTTATATAGACTGGCTTTGAGTCTAACTTTTACTATATTTATGTCTTCACTACATTAAGAGTTCACTATAACTAGAGTGATTTGTATTATCTTTGCGTTAAGTTTGAGGGGTATGAATTTATTAGTTGCCACAAGAAAGTCTTACTAAGATTATAAATGATGTGGTGTGAGGGTAATATTTGCCACAAAGGTTATTATTACTAGAATACACAATAAATGCGACTCGAAAGAGACCTTACTGCCACTTGGATACCAAGAGCTTTCGGTAAAAGTCCGATTAACATAACTGCTACGTACGTACATACGTACATAGAAAAAATATAAATCATGTGTCATGTTGGTTAACATTAAAATGTCATAAAAACGAATATTATTTCTTTGATCGATCAATGCGCATTCACTTGAACACAATAATAATCACGTGACTAAGGAATTAAGAATACAGTATTATAGTGATAATCATGATTAAACAAAAAAGGATAGTAAACAGTCTATAAAAAGTAAACCTTAGTTATGATATCCAATTTAGACAATCCGCGACATTTAGAATCCCCTTTGACTGCGTAACCTTCTAACGCAAATTAATGATGAAACATGAGATTTGCACGGCGTTATTTAAATGACTTAATCTTGCAATTTTAATTTACTTCAATATGGATCCATCTAAAAATTATCTTTCCATTTGCCTGCTTATTTTTCTTGCCTGGACTTCTGCTGGTGTGGACGGTTTTGCGCCACTCGGACGTCTCAGACAAAGTAGTGCTCTTGTAGGGAATAGGCTTTACTTTTTTGGTAGCGCCATTATCGTACAAGCAAGAGAAAATTTTTTTCTCGATGTAACTCTTTCAACACTAAATATTTCAAATCCTTTATGGTTCTCATCAAATGCTTCTGTCCCGACCAATTCTGCATTTGCAAGCGCATGTGTTGGTGGTCCTAATAAAAATACGATATATCTTTTGGAGCATCTAAACACAAGTAATGCCGGTACTAATAACACTATAGTATACGCCTTTGATACAGTAGGCGGGATATGGACTACACTCACTACAAGTGGAACGCTCCCTGCAAGTCGACAACAATTTCAAGCTGTTAATAACACTAATGGCAAGATATATATGTATGACTGTCTTTTATCTTTATTCTTTCTTTGTATTATATTATTTTTTATTTTAACTTTCTTAGGTATCTCTATTATATTTTTATTTTAAATTTCTTAGGTTTGGAGGAATAAACGGTCTTGGTGTTCCTTTTAATGACATTTTTATACTTGATACGTTAAGCTCGGTTTGGACACAAGGCTCTTCTGATAGTGCACCAACGGCACGTTCGGACTTTTCTGCTACACTTTTAAATAATGGTCTTATACTTTATATAGGAGGTGGTGACAATATTAATATGGCCAACGTAATTAAATATAATTAAGTATTTAAGTTTATGATTTAAATCGTGGTATTAAATTATTGTATTTTACTTTCTTGAGTTAGATTCCGACTTATAATACCAATACTGGGGCATGGTCTACAACGGTAATGTTCTTGATAAACTTTTTTCTTTTTAAATTTTCATATTTTTATATATAACGAAGTATATATAAATTATTAGGTTGCTGTTGGTGATACAATAGACCCTAGAAGTGGCCACACTTCCGTATTATCTCCAAATGGGCATGTTATAATTTACGGCGGAGCTAAAAATAACAGTGCTTTAGATCAAAACCAACAATTAGCTTCGTTAGATACAACCGTTAATCCGTATAAGTGGTCCAAAAAATCACCGAACGGTATTAATGTGCCACCTCCACTTGTATTTCATTCTGCAGCTATTGTAGGAAACTTTATGATTTTGGCATTTGGTAATTATACAGTTTATTTAGTTTATTAAATATATACATATATATATATATAAATTATTAATTTATTTTTAATCTATAAAGGTATATCTGGTACAAACAATAATGTTTATGACTTGAATATTAAGAATTCACAATTATATCTTCTTGATACTCGAAATTACATGTGGGTCACGGACACGTTGCAACAACCTAATTCCACTACTTCACCTAATCCCTCAGTTACTCAAATTCAAACTATCATTGCCTCAGACTCTAATACATTAAGTACAGGTGTAATCGTGGCAATTCCTATAGTTTCAATTGCCATTCTTGCAATAATAGGTTTCACGGGATTTTGGCTTTATAAAAGGAATAAGCAAAATGATATCATTCGTATAGCAGGTTCTAAAGGAGGGCATTAGATGTTTATGTAAAATATATAAGTGAATTCTTTATTATTTATAATCTATATCTGAATTTTAATCTTTATATATATGTAATATATAAATAAAATAAATAAAATACTTGAGGTATTACCAATCTAAACATGTGTATCGTGAATATTATTGCTTTTTTAAATTGTCTATT